GCAACCCCATTTTTCCTTGTCTTTTCATCTCCAGAGTAATATCTTTGTAATAAGTGAATGAAATAAATACATATCCAAATATTTATTTATTTAGTATTAGGTACACCAAATAGTGCCATCTCCACTCCCCAACCAAGGTACCTCTTAGAAGCTGTAAGGAAGGACCTGTTCTTGAAAAAGTCATCTTGTTTGGAATGGTTGGATGGTCAGTGAAAGAGAGGAAGACCATCAACAAGTTGAACTGAGACAGTGACTATAGCAATGGGATCATATATATTATAGATTGTAAAGGTATTAGGATAGAGTTCAGATCCATTGTTCACAGGGTCACTATGAGTAGTTGACTTGATGGCACCAAACACTATCCACCTCTCCACCTTCACCCCATGGAAAAAAGATGTGGCATTCAACATCCATAAATATTTACAGCCTTTGAATCCACTTGAGAAGAGAAACTAGGCAAAGATGCCCACTATCACCATTCCTATTCACTAATGTATTAGAAAACATAGTGACAGCAATAAGGAAAGAGAAGGAAATAGGAGGTATCCAAATTGGCAAAGAGGAGGTAAAACTGTAGATGTAGATAATATATAGTATAGTTAGAAAACCTTAAAAATCCAGCAAGAAAACTAGTGCACATAATCAACCAATTCAGCAAAGTGGCAAGGGTACAACACTGCATTGGAACAGATGAGGCAAAGAACTATCTGAAAGGAATATATGATTAAGCATTATATGTATGAGAACAATCTGGAATAAGAGGTGTATTTAAAGCAGATTGGAGGAAGGGAAAGGGAGTAGGAAGGACAAAAATGTGCAAGAAAACCAACTTTTCTATATACAGACTTGGAAACCCTGTAAAATGGTTCTACCCCATTCACTATAATCACTATCACTTTGAATTGATTCCAAGCAATAGGTCTGGTTTTGGTTTTTATGCCTTATTTTGTGCCAATGACTCCATTCCAAGTTATTTTTGTTGTTGTTGTTGTTGTTATTAGCCGTCGAAACATTTGCGACTCATAACGACTCTATGTACAACAGCCCTAAACCCTGCTCTATCCTGTACCAATCGCATTGAGTCTGACACACCCATCCCGATTACCCCAGTCACTGAATCAATCCACCTCCTAGAGGGTCTTCCCCTCCTGTGCTGTCCTTCCACCCTCCCAAGCATGATGTTCCTCTCCAAGTACCTGTCTCTTCTTACAACATGTCCAAAGTATGTCAGACGAAGCCCCAGAATCCTTGCCTCCAAGGAGTAGCCTGGTTTAACCCTCTC